TCTGTAGATTTAAACAATCCCAAACAAAATTCCATTTGTGTGTGTGTGTTTTCTGTGTGTTTAGAATCTCAAGCTGATTCTAAACTTTATATGAAAATTCAAAGATCAAGAATAGCTAAAACACTCCTAAGGAAAGGCAGCAATATGGGAGGATTCCATACATCAAGATGTTTTTCCTAAAGCTGCAGTAATTGCAACTGTTGTATCAGCACAAAAATATACAATTGATTGACACAACTAAATAGAGTCTCGAAATAGAGCCAAGCTATAAATACTTGATTGAACAAAGATGCCATTACACAGTAGTGGATTAAACATAACGGTACAAATGGCGATATATATATATGAGAAAAAGAAACAGAAAAGAAAAAGGAAAAGAAACTTGACTTTTATCTCATATCACAACCAGAAATCAATTCCATGTGGGCTATAGGCATGAAAGTTCATGGCAAACAGTTAAGCTTTATTAGATAAAATGGAACGATATTATCATGACTCTGTGGTAGGGAAAGATTTTTTTTTAAACAGAAGTAAAAAGCACTAACTGTATAGAAAAAGTTTGACAAATTTGACAATAAAATTAAGATCTCTTTATCAAAAGACAAACTTGAGACAGTGCAAAGGTAGGCTACAGAGTGGTAGAAAGTATTTGTAACATATGTAACTGACAAAAGGCTTGTATCTATAATTTTGTTTTGAGACAGAGTTTTGCTGTGTTGCCCAGACTGGTCTTGAACTTTTGGCCTCAAATGATGCTTCCACATCAGCCTTCCTAATTGCTGAGATAACAGGGGTGAGTTACAGTGCCATGCCAAGGCTTCTATCTAGATGACATAAAGTATTTCTTCATAATATTTTTAAAAAGACAATTTATATAAAATGATCAAAGACTTAAACGGGAACTTCACAAAGAAGATATCCAAATGTGCAATAAATGCATGAGAAACGCTCAACTCAGTAATCAGTGAATTGCAAACTAAAAAATCCTGCTACACAATTAACTGTATAGCTTAAATTTAAAAAGATGGTGCTATCACATATGAGCAAAGATATAGAACAACTAGTGGAAGTGTAAATTGGCACACCAGTTTGGAAAACAGTTTAGTATGATGCAGTTGAAGATGAGGCAGTCCTGTGACCATCAGTTTCATTTCAAGGCGTGTACTCAACTGAAATATATCCACATATGCACTGGGAGATGTGAATCTTAATGTATATAGTAGCATTACATTTCATACAGTAATGAAACTTAACAAATGACAGCTTCATGTAACAACATGATGAATTTTAGAAACAATGTTGAAGGATAGAAGCAAGACCAATAAAACACATACTGTGTGCTTTTATTTATTTAATACTAAAAAATAAGCAAAACTAAAGTGTAGCATTTAGGGATACATACTTAGTGGGAAGGGTACAGGTGATTTAAAAAAAGAAGTTAACACTTCAGAATTTATTACACATTAATTATATGTTATATACGGACATGTAGTATGTATCAAATTACAGATTTCCTCTCATATTTCTCAATATCTACACAGAATGCATCTTCAGCCCATTTTTTTTTTTTTAGACAGGGTCTCTCTCTTTCACCCAGGCTGGAGTGCAATGGTGCTACCTCAGCTCACTGCAACTTCCGCCTCCCAGATTCAAGTGATTTTCCTGCTTCAGCATCCTGAGTAGCTGAGACTACAGGCACACAGCACCATGCCTGGCTAATTTTTTTGTATTTTTAGTAGAGATGGGGTTTCACTGCTTAGATGAGTTAAGACTTTGGGGAATTTTGGGGAAGACATGACTGGTTTTGAAATGTGAGGACATGAGATTTGGGAGGGGTCAGGTGCAGAATGGTATGGCTTGGCTGTGTCCCCACCCAAATCTCGGTTTGAATTAATGTCATGAGAGGGACCCAGTAGGAGGTGACTGAATTATGGGGCAGGTCTTTCCTACACTGTTCTCATGATAGTAAATAATTCTCTTGAGATCTGATGACTTTATAAGGCAGAGTTTCCCTGTACAAGGTCTCTCTTTGCCTGCTGCCCTCCATGTAAGATGTGACTTTCTCCTCCTTGCCTTCTGCCATGATTGTGAGACTTTCCTAGCCACATGGAACTGTAAGTCCAATTAAACCTTTTTGCTTTGTAAATTGTCCAGTTTCAGGTATGTATTTATCAGCAGCATGAAAATGGACTAATACAGGTAGTAAGTAGCATGCCAGTGTGTGGTTAGATACATATAGGACAACAGAGAGAAACTATCATGTTCCAGAGAATGAGGAGTAGAATCTATTGCACATAATAGGTGTCTTACTCTGTTTTTGGCTGCTATAACAGAATACCACAGACTGGGTAATTTATAAACAGTAGAAGTTTATTTGAGTCACCAGTCCAAAGGCTGGGAATTCCAAGATTGAGGGCACATCTGTTGAGGACTTCTTGCTGCATCATAGCATGGTAGAGGCATCTTGTGGTGAGATAGTTGGTATGAGAGAGGGCAAGAGCCAGTGAGATGGAGAGGAAAATGGGGGATGAATAATTTATCTTTTAGCAGGATCCCACCTATGTCATAAACTAACCCACTTCCACAATAACACAAATAATCCATTCCCTAATTACTGCTCAGAGGTCCTGTATGTAAACACTGTTTCATTGGCAATTAAATTCCAACATAAATTAGGTGGGGACATTCAAATCATAGCAGTAGGATTCAGTAAATGTTTCTTGAATCAATCTAAGACTTAGTCATTAAATAAGTCTCATTTCAGAAGCTGGTCCTTATATTTGATGACTTCTATTAATATTTTATTGAGACTAAGGGTTACAGTTTTCCATAATTAATAAAGGAAATAGGATTCCCTTCTTTATGAAATTGAGCCAAATGGCATAGGCTTATTTCCAAAATTTTTAGCTATCAAGAGAAATTTAGAAATGAAGACATTAAAGTATTACGTAAGTATTCTTGCCATTTTTCTAGGTGAAATTACATCTGAGGAACAGCCAAATGAACAATGTATTTGCAAACTTTTCTAGGTAGACTAGATAGAATCTTTTATTTTAGCATTTTCCTTAGAATATTCTTTTTATAGGAACAATAAAATCGAAACGATTTTTTAAAAGCCATGCCATTATTAGGAATTCAAGTATTATTTTCCTTCTAGCTGTGTGATTGGATATTTCCTATGCCCCTAGAAAATATTTGCTAACTGTTTTTCTCTAATTCTTGATTTCTTTTAAATCTCTATCTTTGCTACTCTGCTATTCTCTATGAATGCTGTTTTATTTGGGGAGTTGCTATTGTCCCTTAACCTCAAATATTATTCTTATGATAATTTCTAGGTTCTACCTCCCATTCAATCTCCATTCCAATTTTGTCAGTTTTTTTTTTTTTTGGACATCTGTATCTTCCACCATACATTCGAGCTCAGTATCTTCTACACAGAATTCCGAGTATCCATCACTAACTACTTTCCAACTCCCAGTTTCTGCTAGTAGTCTTGTCATGTTCTGGGGTGGAAATAAAAGCTATTTGGCTGTGAAAGCTATTATCCCATTGATCATCAGGTTTTATTTGCCTTACTTAGCTAAGCATTTATGCCCACTGATGTTTCACACACATGGTAATAAAAAATAATGATACTTAACATTGTTACGTTTTTCTTTTCTTTTTCTCTTTCTTTCTTTCTTTTTTTTTTAATTGAGACAGTCTTGCTTTGTTGCCAGGCACCAGGCTGGAGTGCAGTGGTACAATCTTGGTTCACTGCAACCTCCGCCTTCTGGGTTCAAGCAATTCTCCTGCCTCAGACTCCCGAGTAGATGGGACTACAGGTGCACGCCACCACGCCCAGCTAAATTTTGCATTTTGTAGTAGAGATGGGGTTTCGCTGTGTTGGCCAGTATGGTCTCGATGTCTTGACCTCATGATCTGCCTGCCTTGGCCTCCCAAAGTGGTGGGATTACAATTATTAAGTTTGTCATATGTGCTAGCATCTAAGAACTTTACATTATTAACTCATTTTATCCTCACATCAACACAGGTTTTTAATATTTGCTTAATTATTTTTAGAAATAGGGTCTCATTCTGTCACCCAGGCTGAAGTATAGTGACATGATCATAGCTCACTGCAGTGTTGAACTCAAGCTCAAGCCATCCTTTCACCTCAGTATCCTGAGTAGCTTGGACTGCAGACATGTGCCACCATGCCTGGCTAATTTTTTTTTTTTTTTTTTTTTGAGACGGAGTTTCGCTCTTGTTACCCAGGCTGGAGTGCAATGGCACGATCTCGGCTCACTGCAACCTCCGCCTCCTGGGTTCAAGCAATTCTCCTGCCTCAGCCTCCTGAGTAGCTGGGATTACAGGCACATGCCACCATGCCCAGCTAATTTTTTTGTATCTTTAGTAGAGACAGGGTTTCATCATGTTGACCAGGATGGTCTCAATCTCTTGACCTCGTGATCCACCCACCTCAGCCTCCCAAAGTGTTGGGATTACAGGCTTAAGCCACCGCGCCCGGCAATTTTTTATTTTTTTAATAGAGATAAGGTCTCAATGCATTGCCTAGGTTGGTCTCCAACTCCTGGCCTCAAGCGATCCTTCTGTCTTGGCCTCCCAAATCATTGGGCTTAGAGACATGAGCCACTGCACCTGGCTTGTCTTTTAAATTATATAGGAAAAAAAAGGGTTACAAACAAAAACCACATTTTTGTTGTCTTGCCGGGTTTGTCCTTCAGACCCTGGCTGATGAACAGATTAGAGTACTCAGACACAGGTATGCAGTGTAAGGGCAGCTAGGGGACTGCGTGGCTCTAGTGGACAAAGTGCAGCAGCCTCTAGAAGCTGGAGCTACTTGCTTTATTGAGTGCAGGCACAATGCTAAAATAAAAATCTGGAGCAAATACAACCCGTAGGTAATTAACATTTATTGTTCAGGGGAACAATAGCTTTTATTTCCACCTCAGGACATGGCAAGACTATTGGCAAAAACGGGGAGTTTGAAAGTAGTCATGGATACTAGGAATTCTGTGTTGAAGACTCTGACCTTGAATGTGTGGTGGAAGATACAGATATCCTGCATGTGGATTATCAAAGGTCAGTTTCTGGTCAACATAAGTAAACAAGCCTGTTTAAGATAAATTCCCCTACACTGCTTTGTACCTACATCTTGCCCTCTGCCTCAGGGTTATAAAACAGCTGGCTTCAGCTATTCTCCCCCAAAGCTATGCAGAGCCTTCCAACCTTTCAGAAGGCCTGCTCCTTTCCCTATAGTTTTTCCCACCACTCTACTGATCTTCTACATTCTTTTCTATTTTCTATGTAATTACCTTTTCTGTGTTTTTTATTTCTTCTTGTAGATTTGTGTTATTCTCTAGGGTTCATTTATTTAATTCTGAAGGATTCTCTTTCATATTTATTTTAGTATGGTCACTAGTGAGGAATTTTTTAGTTTTTTGCTTATCTGGAAATGTTTTAAATTTGCCTTCATTTTTAAAGATAGTTGTATTAGTTCATTCTCACACTGCTATAAAAAACTAATGGAGACTAGGTAATTTATGAAGAAAAGAAATTTAATTGACTCACAGTTCCATAAGCTGTACAGGAAGCATGGGTAGGAGGCTTCAGGAAACTTACAGTCATGGTAAAAGGCAAAAGGGAAAGAAGCATGTCTTACCATGGTGAAGCAGGAGAGAGAGTAAAGGGGGAAATGCTACATGCCAGATATCATAAGAACTCACTATCATGAGAAGAGCAGGGAGAGATTTGTCTCTATGATCCCATCACCTTCCACCGGGTCCCTCAGTCAATATTAAGGATCACAATTCAACATGAGATTTGGGTGGGGACATGGAGCCAAATCATATCAATAGTTTTGCTGGCTACAGAATTCATTAGGTATTTTTGTTTTTGTTTATCTTTTTCCTGTTAGTACTTTGAATATGTCATTCTACCATTGCTGGTCTCCACAATTTCTAATGAGAAATCAGCTGTTGATCTCATTGAGTATCATATATACATGGTGGTTTGCTTCTTTTCTTTGAGCTTTCAACATATTTTTTTTTTTGTCTTTTGACAGTCTGATTATGATGTGTCTAGGCATGGATCTCTTTGAATTTATTCTACTTGGAGTTTGAGGATGTGAAGATTAGTGTTTTGCTTCTATTTGGGGAAGTTATTGGCAAGCATTTCTTCAAATGTTCTTTCTGTACCTTTCACTTGCTCCTCTCCTTCTAAGATTCTTATTGTGCATGTTTGCATGCTTGATGATGTCTTATATGTCTGCGGCTCTGTTCATTTTTCTTCATTCTTTTTTTCTGCTCCTCAGACACTCTTGATTGACCTGTTTTCAAGTTCACTGATTTTTTTTTCTGTCTGCCGAAATCTTCTGTTGAAATTGTCTTGTGGACTTTTCCTTTCAGTTTTTGTTATTTTCAACTCCAGAATTTTTCTTTTTGGTTTTGAAAAAAAAAAAAAGTCTATCTCTTAAAAATGTCTATTTCTAGAACCAATAAATCGATATTTTCTATTTAGTGAGACATGATTCTCATACTTTCCTTTAGTCCTTTAAATATAATTTAGTTCTCTGAACATATTTAAAATAGATGATTGAAGTTTTTGTCTAGTGAGTCCAATATCTGGTATTTCTTAGAGTCAGTTTCTATTGATTGCTTTTTTCCTTATGCATGACCGATAGTTTATTTCTTTGCTGTTCTTATAGTCCTTTTATTGTTCTTGCTGAAAACTAGACATTTTAAATAGTATAATATAGTAGCTGTGGAAGCAGATTTTCTTCCTTCTCCTCAGGATTTCTTGTTGCTATTGTTTGTTTTAGTGTATTTGGTAATTTTTCTCAATTATTGTTATAACATCTATATTCTATGTTGTATGTGGCCATTGAAGTCTCTGCTTGGTTAGCTTAGTGGTTAGCTAATTATTAGATGAAGACTTTCTTAATTGCCTAGAACCAATAAATCTCCCAGTCTTTGCCAAGGATGTGTGTGTTGTGTGTGTATGTGTGTGTGTGTGTGTGTGTGTGTGTATGTATGTGTGTGTTGGAGCATGCTTTCAATTCTCAGCTAAGCAATTGACAGCTCTATCTTAGCTCTCATTTTCTGCTTATGCAATTCCTCAAGGTCAGCCAGATGTGAGAACTTAGGGCCCTCTCAGGTTTTCTTAGCATATTGTCAGTCACCCCTGAGTATGGGCACAGGCTTCTTATATATGTGTGTGGTCATCTAGGTTCCTGGGAATGTTTCAAAACACTTCAAAAAACCCTAGAGCATCTCATTTTCTATTGTTTTTCTTTAAGTTTTTTGCTTAGTCCATTGTTTGTCCTGTTTTCCACCTCATCAGGCAGTTATGAATTTATTTGTTTATTTTTTACTTAAAAAAATTTTTAAAGCCAGTCAAATTTAGCAGCAGGGGGTTATATACTGACTTTAGTGACACTAATGTTAATTAGTTCTGATAACCCACTACCATCTGACAAGCCAGGTATGAATTTAAACAGTTGCCTTATTTGCTTTTGACAAATGGCCTTGGTAAAATCCTTTTGAATTTTCACTTGGGCAAACTCCAAGTCAGATAAAATTCAGACAGCTTATAAGTGGGATCTTCCAGGGAACCATCAGACAGATCAAATAATGGCAATTCTTTGGGAATAGGGCTTTAAAGAAATCTCAACTTGGTCCTGTCCTCTCCAGTGGCTTCCAGCTTCTAACTTTCACTGCAGTCTGTTGTTAGTTTCCAAGGATGTAGGATATGTAGAGAGTGGATGATGGGACTAGGGAAAATTAAAATGCTACAGACTGGGTGTTATGACTCCTGCCTGTAATCGTAGCTACTTAGGAGGCTGAGGCAAGAGGATCGCTTGAACCCAGGAGTTTGAGATGAGCCTGGGCAACATAGTGAGATTCTGTTTCAAAAAGGAAAAACAGATCCTTGATAGTAGCTAAGAGTGTCTCCTAATTCCATTCTCATCCTTAGAACAATGGTTGGAGTCTTTTTTTTTTTGGCCAGGTGTGGTGGTGTGCACTTGTAATTCGATCTACTTGGGATACTGAGGCAGAAGGATCACTTGAGACCAAGAGTTTGAGACCAGCCTGGACAACATAGTGAGATTTCTGTCTCAAATTTTAAAAAAAATCCACAAAACTCTGTTCTTAACAAGATTCAGCCATTTTTGTTGAATGAACAAATGATGTCTGACTTGCTGCAAGACCTTAGTCAGTTTCAAGTTCTGACATTTTGGTTTTGACAACTTTTGCCAATTTTCTCTTTCCTTTTATGGAGAATTTCAGAGGTCCTTACTCCAACATATTCTATGATGTCTTCTCAGTAATTATTAAGAGCTTGGTTGTGTAGTAGTATTTCACTGAAAAAAGTCTGGCTGCTCTGTTTTACAAGATATTGGTATATTGAAACATAAGAGTTTATGTGTATGTGCCACAAGAGTCTTGTGATTTGGTGTTACTTATAGGCTAGGGATAAGCCAGCCAGATGGAATGTTGCCCTGGGCACAAGACTGAGTGGGACTAGGAGGATAATAAGCAAGGAAAGTAGAAGTAAGGCATTCAGCATAGAGAAGAGGTAATATTATAGAGAGGAAGGAAGTTTGGAGCCTTGATTACAATTCTGAATTTGGAAAGGCAAATTTGGAAGGGCACAATGTAGGCAGAAACAGAAGACTATATAGAGGAATTGGGAGAGCACAATCACATTAACAGGCCCAGGTGATTGGTTCAGGACAGACTATGAGGAGCACACTGGTCAAGAGCTTTATTTATCTGGTGTCCATTGAACGTTCCGGGAGCAGTGTGGGGCAGGTATTGCAGCTTATCAGAGTTGCTTCAGGCTAACCATTTGTATTTTGATTGTCAAGGCAAACCCCATGATGACGTTTTAAATGATGCCAAGACAGTTTAGGATTTTCCTGAATGTTGTAATCTACAAACACAGAAGGGTTTTAGAGAAGAAAATCTGTAACAACTGCAGTATCCAGGAAGGTCCTTATGTAGGAGGAAAAACTGCTCTTTGAATAATATATAGGGTTTAGTTAGGCAAGAGGTTAAAGGATTGCAGCATATACCCACAGACCGGAAAGAACAAATGAATATGAAATGGAATGGGATGTGTTGGGGTAAACATGGTGTATTAGTCCATTCTCATACTATTATAAAGATACTACCCGAGACTGTGTAATTTATAAACAAAGGAGGTGTAATTTATAAACAAAGGAGGTTTAATTGACTCACAGTTCTGCATGGCTGGGGAGGCCTCAGGAAACTTATAATCATAGTGGAAGGGGAAGCAGGCATCTTCTTCACTAGGTGACAGGAGTGTGAATGTGTGAAGGAGGAACTGTCAAACACTTATAAAATCATCAGATCTTGTGAGAACTCACTCACCATTATGAGTACAACATGGAGAAAACTGCCCCCATGATCCAATCATCTCCCTCCCTCTACCTGTGGGGATTACAGGCCCCTCCCTCAACCCATGGGTATTACAGTTGGAGATGAGATTTGGGTGGGACCCAGAACCAAACCATATCACATGGGAACTCATTTTGGTCACATCAGATTTCTTGTTGAAATAGAAGTTAGGAATAAGAAAATTTGAAATATGAAATTCCCCAGAACACAATATAATACCACTAGGGAACCAAAAAGAAATAAGTGAAATGATTGCTGGGCACTATTCAAGATACAGAGCATTAATTAATGATATGCTGGTTCTCACAGTCATTCTTTTTTTTCCACCCATTTTTCTTCTATTCTTCCCTTACTATTTTTAAGGAGAAAAGAGGCTTAATTTTATTAGATCCTTAATATGTACCAGGCACTGTGCCAAGGACTTTGTATGTGGATTTCATTTAATCCTCATGTCTGACCTTTGGAGGTTGCCATCACTAATCCAATTTGATAGATACAGAAATCTGGTGTTTCATTAATAGCTGGTCCCTTTCATTGTCATGGAACCAGAATTCATCACAAGTAGTAGAGGGTTTATTGTGAGGGAAGTCTACACATCTCCTATGTGTAGATTTCCTGTATATGTATGTGTGTGTGTATAGGAAACAGGATACTGATTAA